TCGTAATATGAAGGTATATGTAGATGACATGATAATCAAGAGCAAGAGATTGATTGAGCATCTGGAAGATCTTAAAAAAACCTTCAACACTTTAAGAAAGTATAATATGAGACTTAACCTAAGTAAATGTACTTTTAAAGTTACATCAAACAAGTTCCTAGGCTACATAATCAACCAAAAAAGGATAGAGGTGAACCTCGAAAAGGTTCAGGCAATCCTAGAAATGAAGGCACCAACTTCGGTAAAAGAGGTGTAGAGGTTAACAAGTAGAATAGCCACGTTCAACCAATTCATGTCCATATCGACAAAATGATATCTACCGTTCTTCAAAACTTTTAAAAATATTTCTGACTTCATATGGACTCTTCAATACCAAAAAGCTTTTGATGAACTTAAAGAGTTTTTATCCTCCTCACCTGTCATGTCAAAATCAAGGACTGACAAAACACTATACTTATATTTGACTAGCATCGATCAGGCTGTTAACTCAGTTTTAGTCTAAGAAAAAAAGGGGAAACAATGATCGATCTATTTTGTAAGTAAAATATTGACAGGGCCTGAAGTTAACTACAACAGTATAATGAAATTGGTCTATGCCATGATCACATTGGTAAAAAAACTTAGGTCATACTTCCAGGCCCACACGATCTACATTTTGATCGATCAACCACTAGGACAAGTTTTATAAAAACTTGAAATGTCGAGAAAGCTAATCAAATGGGCAGTAAAGCTTAATGAATTTGATTTACAATTTTTATCTAGATCGACATTAAAATTATATGTGCCAGTAGACTTCATAGTAAAGTGTACTTCAACATAATTAAAAGGACAACCTAAGGAAAAAAAAGAAATTTTAGATAAAGATGACTAGAAACTCTATGTCGTTGAATTCGTTACAAGCCAAATTAGAAGAGTCGACCTCATTCTGATTAGTTTAGAAGGGCTACAGTACTTATACACCTTGGGATTCAATTTCAAGGCATCTAATAACGAAGTGAAATACAAGGCATTGATAGTCAGCCTAAGGTTAGCAACCGAGTTGAATGTTCAACCCATAATCACTTATAGTTACTCCCAACTAGTAGTTGATCAGGTCAATTGAGAGTTTGAAGCTCAATAAGATAGAATTCAAAAGTACTTTGACAAAGTATTAGCCTTGATAGTTGGCTTCAATAAAGCCGAGGTGAAAAAAATATTGTGATAAAAAAATTCAATAACTGACTTTCTGTCTAAGTTGGCTTCAAAAGCAGTAATGAAAAACCTGAACCAAGTTATAATAGAAGAATTAATGCATAAAAGCACCAAAGATAAGCTCGTGGGATAGGTCATAAAGAAAAAAACCTGGATGACATCAATTAAAGCATACCTGACCATAGAAGTGCTACCTGATGAAAGAGTTCTAGCTAAAGCATTGATGAGAAAGGTCATCCGACACATAATGATCGAAAAAAAATTATACAAGAGATCTTTTACTCTACCTTCTTGAGATGTGTTGATAAAGAAGAGACAGAGTACGTCTTGAAAGAAATCTAAGAAAAAATATGTGAAAATCACCTTGAACCTTGACCTTTAGCTTATAAAGTGTTGAGGAAGGGCTATTACTGGCCCACTATTAGGAGGGATGCAGCCAAACTGGTGAAAAAATACAACAAATGTCAAAGGTTTGCCCAATGCAACATTTCCCCTTAACCAAGTTCACTCTTATCATTAACCTGTGGCCATTCATGCAATGGAAGATGAAAGTTCTCAGACCATTCAACCTGACCACAGGTTAAAAGATATTTGTCTTAGTGACAGTAGATTACTTCATAAAACGGTTAAAAGTCAAAGCCTTAGCCACTACCACAAAAGCATAAATTGATAAGTTTGTGTAGAAAAACATAGTTTGCAGATTTGGACTACCTTAGTCTATAATAATAGACAATGACAAACAATTCAATAATCTGAGATTTAGAGAATGGTGCTTAGATCTTCACATTAACCTCAAGTTTACGTTGGTTGTCTACCTTCAATCCAACGAGCAGGTTAAAGCTATAAATAAGATAATATTAAATGCTCCGAAAAAGAAGCTTGATGCAGTAAAAAAGAAATAGGCCGATAAGCTGCCAAGAATTTTATGGGCGTTAAGGACAACCACGAAGGTTTCTATTGGTGAAACACCATTTCACTTGGCATTTGAAACAGAAGTCGTAGCACAGGTTAAGATCAGCCTGTTGAGCATAAGGGTTGAATTGACATCGAAAGAAAAAAATAAAGAGGCATTTAGGGCTAACATTGACTTCTTCAAAAAACAAAAAGACATAGCTCTGACTCGAATTGCAGCCTATTAGTAAAAAGAAACCAATTATTATAACAAGAGGATCCAGCATAAATACGTCAGAAAATGTGACCTGGTACTCAAAAAAGTTGAAGCTTCAGGGGTAGATGACCGAGCTGGCAGGTTAGCCCTAATGTGGGAAAGATCATATATTGTTAAAAAGGTCATCCATGATGCAACCTACAAATTACAAAATCTAAACGGTAACATCATCCCAAGCATTCTCTTTATTACACCGTTGCCTTTCCTCGGACATCGAATTGAACCAATAGGCTGACTTTATATAGTCACGGCCTTCAATAGTAGTGGGATCAGGTTATCATCTTGCTACCCTTACTGACCTCTATTTGGCTTTACCTTATAGCTCTCAGCCCCTTCAAAACTCATACTAGAAAACATAGTTAGAAATACATACCAAAGCGAGTGTAGAAAAAACTTTAAAGGCAAAAGAGTTATGGAGATAAAAAATTTTAGGTCAGATTGAGAACAAAGAAAGTAAAAGATTGAAAGCTAAAGCCCTATCAGCCCTTTTATATAGACGCGTTTCAACTAAAGGGATGGCACAATCCTTGCTATGTGTTGAGGCACTAGCAGGTAGATATATTTTTATCTTTTTGCTTTAAATCTCTTTGTTCAAATCGTCTCTTTCTTTATTTAATGTTATCAGACCCAATTGGAAGAACCCCAGATCAGATCGGTTGGACCAGATAGCCATCAAGGATAAACATAGAGCCTAGTTCATTTCTAAGGTTCAAAATAGAGACTCAAGCCCAAATTCTCGAAAGAAAACACAACTCTTACCACAGACATACGAACCAGCAATAATCTCGAATCACCTTAGACAATTATCACTTTAGCAACCTTTAAATCGATTATACATTCATCCCAAAATACATGTGCGAGATTGGATAACCTTCAAGTCAGCCGTGGCTCAAAGCTAGTCGTTATCTAGAACCAACCTCCTCTTGCAACATCTACCTTCGACGAAATATGCAGCCACTTACCCTATTTCGTAGACGTTGGTAACAAATTTAGTAATCTGATACTTAGACTGCTTAATAGAAGATATAGTGTTAGGGGCACATAATGGTCAGAAAAGGCACAGTGGTTTTTTCTTCTCTCTTAGTCTTCAACAAATAACTAGAAGTATCTTGATAATTTGTGCCAACTTGACATGTCAGGTCAATTTAATATCTTCAATGTCACTTCAACTCGACCCTATCCTAATTATCTCCTATTTGTCCCTCTCAATTTATCTATAAATATGAAAACTCATGTACTATGAAGTTAGGTTCATCTAATTTATATATATATATATATATTTTTTACTTTTTCACTTTTTTTTCGACCTGATCCTTATTGATTTGTACATCAAAATACAAATATAAGGAATACTATTTACTTTTACCTCTAACTATTTTTTTCTGTAGTCAAAGCTCGACACCAACGATAAATTTAATTGTTAGGTTTAGCCAAGAAAGATACTGCACTTGTGGGATTCAATTGTAGTAGAGCTATAAAGGTACATGATTCTATCTTCACAATATGCTGACATTCATAATTTATTCAATTCCCTCAAATCTATTCATTTTTCTTTTCTTTTTTTACTCATTATTGAACTAAATGATTACTTTTTGGCAGGGCAAACGTGACTTCACTGTCAACTTTGCATGAATAAATGCAAATGACAACTAAAAAAAAAAAATTACAAGGGAAATGGACCTGAGCAGGCAAGTGATTTTATACTTGCTATATCAATGACACATTTTCCACTAGTCTAACGATGATAAAGTTTTTTTTTTTTTTCAACCAATTAAACGTTGATTTTTTTTTTTTTAATGAAGAATCGACGATAAAAGTTCTTGAAATAATCCAAAAATTAAATCCAAATAAAATTTAAAATACCATAGTTATTATTACAGAAAATAACACATTTCCCAATATACCATTTCTTAATTATTTCACTTCCACTCTGATCTGATCTTTTTTATGTGCATAATTCCCAAAGTAGTGGTCCTACTTTAAGACAAATTTATTTGACATTCATTTCGTAAATCTGTTAGCCGAAACAGTTTAAGCTCGTGGGCTGGGGGGGATTGGACCAGCATTTTTTGTTTTCAAGGACAATTTATTGAAGAAACAGCGATAGATGTTGAGTTGCTTTCACAAATTTTGACATGTTTGTACACTGAAATATGTTACCTCCAATTGTTTGCTGCAACAACCAAAAGCATCAGACTATATTGCAAGAACCACCGACCATTTGGACAGAAATTAATCATCATAGCTTCACAGCTAATATATTGTCTTTTTTTTTTTTTTAATTCTATTTTCTACCTTCTGATCCTTCTTCCTGTTGCATTTATTTTCTTTTTTTTTTTAATTTTATTTTCTTCCTGTTACAATTATATATATATATATATATATTTGGAAAGACTATTAAAATGTATTATGATTACTTAATTTGTATCAAAAGTAAAAGTTTCTTTGCTGAGATGATTAGAAAATTGAAATTGTCACTAATCATAAATTCAAGTCTGAATTGTCTCAATGATTTGTTTAAAAATGCTATTATTTGAAAATTTTAAAGCCCGAATTGCGACTTAAACAAAGATCTAATGGAAAAGGTCCAAGGGAGATTATTGGGATTGCAACCCAATTTCTTTTCAGATTTGGGCTGCATTTCGTCTCTTTCAGCCACAAACTGGTTTTGGTCCACGAAATCGATATTAATATATCGAAATACCGAGGACATTGGTGACGACCGGTTGAAATTGGAGAGTTTTTTTACTTGATTTTAATCGTTATTTCCATCTAATAGCTACTTTTTGGATTAATTATAAAAAGTAAAAAAAGAAATTGAAACAAAGAAAGATTTGTACTTTTCAGCTTTCACCACTGTAGAATGTTGTGTTTCTATCATATAATTTGATCAAACTTGAGTGATCATTTTAAGTCGGTCGAACTTGTTTTGTAATATTTATATAGCTTGTAGACGCCTCTTTGTTTATAAGATTGTGTAAAGCAGGCACTTTAATCAGTTGACTGCAATTAGACAGCAATGGTATATCATTAATAGACATATAATAAGTCTAAATCTCTATAAAGTATTGTGGTTGTCTATCCTATAATAATTCACTTTATATCATTATAAAGCATTGTGCTTGAATAAATCTCTATAACCAAACCCAAATACAACATAAATTCTAGCCATATACTCATGAATTTCTATAGACTATATAACACATTATGCATGCATGCAGCTCCATCAATTAGATCATTTTTATGAATTTTCTTATTTAATTTATACGCGTTTTGGGCTCTCTTGTAAATTCCCTCCAACAAAGTTAGCTCCCATACAAATATATACATATATATAAATAATACCTATATGTCAACTCAAACCAATTTAGCAATTGACTTTGAACCAACACATTCCGTTCTGATCATTCCAATGCAAGCACTTTAATTAGATCTCATCATTCATCAACATGTTTCTCTTCCGGTTTAGTCATGCCACACTCTGATCAACAACAAGCTCCAGCTGGTGGGTGCTTTCTTTAGAAAATTTATACATACTAGAAACTGGGGGTTCAAAGTTTTTACTTGTAATTAATAAGATTTAATTAAATTTAATAGATAGAATACATTTTTCTGTATTTTTTAAAAGAAAATACATAAAAAACTTACTCCTACCCCATCACCAAAGCCTAGATAAAAATAAAATATAATATAATCCTAAAAGATATACAATTATATGATAAATAAAAGAATAATATTTTATTTAGATAAAAATGAAATGCCAATCAACATATAAGCTTTAAACAATCAACATGCAAGCTTCATATAGATGTAACAAACAAAAGATAAAAAGTGTAAATTGTTTTCTTTCAAGTAAAAAGACAAAAAAAAAATAATAATAAAGTATAGAGTGACAGAAACAGAAAGAAGCACCTTTTTATGCAGAGCGGTTAAATTAGAATCCTTAAATGCAAGTAACCAACTATTAAGAGAAAAGTATCACACCACATGACCATAAATCTGCCTTTGCTTCATCATAGCTTTTATTGTTGATCACCTACAAAATGATAGCACAAAAACAATAAATAAAAGTTTAACTGATATATATATATATATATATATATATATATATATAAGTTTTCATGTTAATAAAGAAGCAATATCAAGATACAACATGTTTTCTATGTACTTTGACACAAACAAATGTACTGCAAGAACAACTTCATGATAGAATAATAACTTTAACGCACAGGTAATCAAGATAAACATATTTTGGGAATGAGATCTTAAACTAATTAACCAACAAAAGCAATTCTATCTCTTCCAAAAGTTTCAATTTACAATTTGAGTATTCCTATTGTTTCATACCCTCCAAAATATCTCTAGTTTTCTTATGACAACTGGTATGTCCAACTGAATGAGAATTTTTTTTCTTTCAAAATCAAATAAAAAGGGCAATTTGTGACAAACAATTGTTCAACTCCACTTGATGGTCTATCTTTAAGAGATGATGTTTCATGACTTGAATCTTGATTCAACTATCTATTAATTACAATCAAAATAGGGGAATATGGTTGGTTAGTAAGGAACACTTTTAGCATCATCTCCAAATCAGTGTGTCTTTTGTTTATAATGCTACAATATTCAGGGGAACTAAAATAACAATCATTGCATGGTTATTATATGTATATTTATTTATTAAATACAAAAGTGGTGAATTTTGAAACTTAATATGAATAACTTGATAGAAACTTTTCTATGAGAAAAAGAAGATTTTGGATCATCTCAAGCTCAATGCCAAACTCTAAATGTGAGTGCACACCAACTATAGAGTATTGTACACTACATTCATGCAAGAAATCAACAAAGCAAATAACTAATTGCAATCTTTAAAAAACAATATAATCTATAAAACATCAAACAAATGCAACAAAGTTTCTGGAATATAAAAGCTAAAACAAAGTAAATGAAATATAGCATTAATTTTAGTCACTTGAATATGCATTCTAAAAGATGTTGGTCAAATCCCTTTGTCATGCAGAAAAAGAAAGTATGAGGATTTCAGTAATATTTCACAAAGAGAGGACCAATTATATTAACATCCTTAAAATCCTAGCACCACAACAAAGCCTCCAAAATAAACAGAGTTTTATATAAAACACCAATCCATCTAATAATAGTTAGCAACCAAATCATGGCCGATATAAACACCAAATTCCTTACCTTTAAGTAATATGTTTTTCAAATGCCTCTCAGTACTTGTCCTAAAGCTGTCGAAAAAAATCATGAGGCATCTTCTGACTACACATGTTGTATATAGTCTTGTAGTAGTTCCAATTAAAGAAAAATGATGAGCATAAAAAATACCAAATAATTATAAATAATAAATACATGACTAAAACAGAATCAATAAAATTGAAACTAAGTAATTAAGGATACGTGTAAAGCATCATATATTTTTCTGAGCTAAACGGAGTCTCCAGCAATCCTTCAACAATCCTTTTTCAGCTCTGTAATCCCTTTTTCATATAAAGAAAAAAGCAGAACCAAAATAAAATATAAGTCAATCTCAAATAAATATGAAAAATTTAGAAGTTCCTACCTTTACAATTATATATATTGTCAATATTGATGATGCTCACGCAAACATCAAAGAAGTTCACTTTCTGCCACTTTATCCAGTGGCCAAACATATTGCAATTACATAAATTTACTTTGATGGTAATTGGTATTGTGCCAGCATAGGAGATCATAAGGTTCCCATATTCTTAAAGAGAGTTGGCTCATAATTCCATGATGATTGGTTGCTAATTTTTGCTAGATGATAATCCTGATTTACATTTCGATCAGGGCCTGGTTAAACTTTTTCTACGAATAAAGCAGAGCAAAAGACAAAGTAATAAGATAAATTCAACCATAAATATATGAGATGGCTTATTTCTGTTGCTTAATCACTTTTAAAAACCATGAAGTAAAAATATCATTGTTTCTTCTTTCTAAAATATGAATGCTGATCAATCTTGTATATGTTTGGCCCTTACATTTTGTATTTGCCACATCAACTTGAGCTTAAGTTTGCATCATAAGTTTTATCTAAAAGTTTATGAGCCAACAAAATCTACTTTACCATCAATAGAATTGGATTTTTGTTTTTCTTTTTTACTTTTCAATTTTACCCCTAAGTTTCTACAACTTTTTCAAGTTTGGTATAGGTCTATTTAAGCTGCCTTATGTCTATTTGTTATGGTAAATGTAGTTGTAGCAAAACATGAGATTTAAAGTAGGAAGAAAATAATAGCAAAACATGAGATTTAGAGTGGGAAGAAAATAACTATCATATCAACCCATTGCCTTTGATGGCAAATGACATGAATTATAAAAAATCAATCTTTACTGAGCATTTGAAAAAACCATTCCTCAAATGAAGTCTATAAAATCAACTATAAGAAATCAACTAAAAATTCTTTATCACGCAACCACCAAATCATTACTAAGCATTTGATCAAATTGCCAAACACGTATAAAATCATGAATAAAAAAAAATTGAAACAATGAAAACCCAAACACCGGAAAAAGACAAGCAAATAAACCTCATTCAGTTCATCAACTCTTTGACAACTATTGGGTCTTGAAAGTGTGGCAGTATATGGTAAAACCTTATCTTATCAACTTTTACTTTCATTCCACCAGTTTTAATGAAGTGTAATCAATGATAATACAATATACTACATTCATATAGCAATCAAAACAGATTAGTTAAACCTCAAAAAGGGGAGACTTCCTACAAGTCATATGAACCATACTTTCTCTTCCAGAAAGATCAATTACATGCTGCAATTCAAATAGAACAAATACTTAATTAGAACATGAATTGAGGAGAAGCCAAAAGAACCCAAATTTTTGTTTCATATACTTACAATGAAACTGTTATTAGATGACACAACCATGTGGGCGACATGGAAAACATGTTCTCGCTCTATTATGGCAGTCCAAGTAACCCACCTCGCAAATCAACCAATTTTAACTTTAATACTTGTTCGTAAAAAATTCCAAAATTTAACTAATTAATCACCATATATAAGCAATAAAGATAACTTTTTTGTAGCATTTGCCTTTTGTGACATATACCTTATAAACGATGTTTTTTTAGCGACGAACATCGGCAACGGAGCTGCTACATGACGACAATAGCGGTGACTCACAATGAAACGGGGATTTGAGGGAATCAAGCGGATCAAAAGGTAGATAACGAAGAGGGAAGGAAGGAGGAATGATTTTCAGCGATCAAACAGCGGTAAATGACGAAGAAAGGTAGCAACGATTTTAAGTTTTTGGGGTTTAAAAGCAGGACTTTAAGGAGCTTTTTGGTAAATCCTAAACTGGGGAAGTGAAAGAGGGGGAGAAGAGGAAAAAGCGGTTGAAATTTGGATTGAAATGGGGACCCGAAGAACCATGGACAATGGTGGTAATCGGCAAAAAAATAGTGGTCGTCACCTGCAGTTTGATTTCTAAAGAGAGAGGATAAAGGTTACAAAGGGGAAGTAATGAAAAATGAAATGAAGAGTTAAAAAATGAAACCGTAAAAGATTAAAAAAAAAAAAGGAAAAAGAGTAAAATAAAAAACGATTAAATAGAGATAAAAAAATCCAGATTTGATCAATCCAGATTTGATCTTGTTAAGAGTACTTTAATAATAAAATCTTGAATTATCTAATTTGGTGTGAGAGAATGCTTTTAAAATCGCCCTAATAAAAAAATATGACAAGCAAAATTAACTTGTAGATAATCTTTGTCACTATTATCAATATATACATATATATATATATATACATTTTTTTTATTACATAAAAAAAAATAAAATTTTAAGTTAAAAAAAAATCTGACTCAAAAATTAAAATTTAGCATGGTGCAAGCTAATTTTTTGTTTTTAATAGAAATTTAGCATGGTGCAAGCTAATTTTTTGTTTTTAATAGAAATTTCAATTTTGAACCGTTCATGTAAAATTTGAGGATAGGAGAAGAATTTTTACTGTATATTGCCAATTTCTCATAGTTGTATACTAAAGCTGGAGGAGTTAAGGCTCCATTTAGTTGTTACTTTTGCTGACTACTATTTGCTTTGGGAACTAATAAAAAAAAAAAAAAGATGTGCCCTTGAATATAACAAATTTTTTGTTAATGGTAATAGTCACACATTAATTGAGTTGCTGTTAATGGTTTATATCTTAGGGACATGTTTATGTAATCCTAGGGTGATAGCTATTCTGTATAGGCTAAATCCATTGACCATGCTCATTTTGTTCCTCAAATGCTGCATCTTAACAAAGCAATACTTTCGCAGAATGTAAATGAGGACACCGATGAGATGTTTAATGATTTGATGAAAAAATATGGAAAAGTCTCCAAGTGCTGAGCTTGATGATGATTCCGAAGGCTTATCGTGTAAATTCATCTCAAAATTAACACAAAAGCAGGGTACTTAAAACCAGTACAAATCTGTGTGATGTCAACAACTTCCATATTACTATTTCAGCTTTATCTGGTAATTGGATAGATACTTAGCTTCGCCTTAGTCCTCAAAGATCATGAATTCCATCCTTGACCTTCATGCTCCCTTGTGAATCATTATTGCCTTTGTACTTGTAACTAGTAGTAGATCGCTCTGGCTCCGCTGTGCTTGCCCACAGTTTTACTGGTTTGGCGTTGTTTTTGTATATCTTGTATCTATATCCTGTCTTTGTAACTATATAAAGATGGTTCCCTCCAAGTTCCTCATATCAAGGTGCCTTTTATTCTTTTAGTGCCTTAGGTATAAGTTGATAGGCTGATTTGGCTGCTCTCAACTATAACATGGCATATCACTTTTGATAAAGGACCATTGTAATGCATTCTAGTTTGACAGTGACTTGTTAAGCTCTGGCTTTATATAATGTTTGGTCATCCTTAAATATTGAAGCCGTTAAGTTCCGCAGCAGCAATGACTGCCAACTATGTTGCAGTGGATAACTCCAAAGCAAAGTATGATTTTCTCCTTTTAGTTTCAATTGTAGCATGCTTGTGAATAATTGGGAAATTAAGAAGGAAATTATGTGATCCTGTGAAGGTTACCAGAAAGAATTTACTTAACACAATTCATTGTGCATGCCCTGATGCTTTCCCAAATAACTAAAATTTGCTTGTACTTTGACAATTTTTTTTCCTTTGGGGAAATAGTTAAAACTTTGAAGCAGTTCTTGAATTGATTTCTTTTCTTCCAAGTTTCATTATAGATCCAGAATAAGAGATTTGGCTGAGAAAGTATGGAAAGATTCCATCTAGAGATACAAAACCAAACTCTTGGGACTTTTAGACTTTGGTAAGTAGTCTAATTTGACAATTCATTGACACATTTGTTTTATAGTAATTGGCATAGGACAATGAACATAAGGCAAATTTTGACTCTAGGGATGAAATTTGGTGCCAAAACAATCTGATGCAGCCAGCACAGATTTTGTGCCTTCTTACTATCTTTATTCTTTCTCTTGTTTCTTTTCCATATATGGCAAATATGAAACGGGCTACAAAAAGCAAGGGATATTTTGTTTAGTCAGCCCAGAGAAACATTTTGGAAAATTGACTTAAAGGGCAAACAATATTTGCAAGAAATAATTTGTAAATGCTAAAAGGTCTATTTATAAAATTGGAAAAATCTATTTGATCATCATGTTGATGAGCATGGAAAGAATTACCATAACTGGCACATTAAAATCCAGCGATATCGAGCCCCTAGCTCAAGTAAGCTAGTTTCCTACTCGTTAATCTTTTAGTAATGTTTCTTGCTGTCATAATTCCAGGTGATGTCGTTATCTACATATTTCTTCCTCAACAAAGTTTACAATTTGGAAGAGCTTTATGGAAATGCGACCCTTATTGAGCTGCCTTCTGAAAACTAACCACCACTTCGTAGTTGAAAGTGACTAATTCTGAAGGAATCAAAAGCACTGACTGACAGAACTCACATGTTGGAGGTGTTTATCTCCGCCAGGTTCAGTTAGCACTACATGCTCATCACCTCAATCCTTGCAGGGAGGCTTGATCAGGAATTCAAGGGGCGCAGTTCCATTGCTGGTACGTATCATTCACTATTCACATGGAGCAGTTTGCATCTGCACTATTATATGTTCGGTTTGCTTGTTATCTTCTGGATAATGTCCTTAAATCATTTCCTTACTAGGGCTTGTACATGTAACAGCTGGAAGCAGTTATGCTGTTAGGCTTGATGAGTTCTAATGAATCTATGGATTCTCATTGCTTTGTCTGTGTCTGGTGCATAAATGTAGGTTTGACTTGTACTCCAGAGGTTAAATTTAACTTATAATAGTTGGAATGATTAGGTTGGAAATCTAACAAATCTAAATTGCTCCCAAGGCACATCCAGCTAAAGTTTCCACTAACCAGTGTCAAAGGAGCATTTCAGATCATGACAACTTTCCCGAAAACAATGGTTGGATCTTTAAAGTTTTTAGAACATGGGAACCAAGTGGATGTTAGGAAGGAGGATCTGGCTTTTCTGTTTCAATGTGAATTCTCGTCTATATTTAACCTGATGTTGTTATGCAAGCAATTTATAATCAAACATTCTTCATATGCCAAACAAACCAAGTCGAGTTTCATGCATTGAAAGTTTTTTGTATTTACGGAGCTTCGAGTAATTTGTGATTGGAAGTTTTGTTTTTTTAATCCCCAAGCAATTTGCTGCTTCATTCTGCTGTGAATTGGTGGTTGAGGTTTCTTCAATTACTTTTCAATACACAATTAATCACCATAAATATAAACCATGAATTCCACATGCATACAAATGATTAAGGGTTCACGAAGTTGGAAGTGCCAACTCCTGCATATTGCATTTTTTCTACCTTGCTAAATATATAATCTGCCCCGCAATGTGGACGTCATACAAAATAGGAAGATGTAACCAATCCTAGCGGACAAAGAAACTTGTTGAAGAACATGAAGTTGAAGTGGAATTACATTATGATTTATGGCTGCGAATCAATTGACTGGACCGGCAAGCACAAGAGTTGTTACAAAACATATTAGAAACCAAGGCAGAAAATAATGGAATTTTCGTCAAGACGACGGAAAAACACCATTGAAGAAAGTCTAGACCATGGGCCTTTAAAAAATTTAAAACTAAAGAAAAAGATATCCCTCAACCAAAATATTAGCTAACTGGTTCCTTTGTTCCCTAAATTCTAGCAACCAATACTTTAGTAGGTTAGTTATACGATAACAAGCTCCATAACCTATGTAGATTTCTATTTGTAAAAATTGCATCAACTGCCACACTGAACCAGCAACCTTCCTTAAATCATCAACCGAGATGATCCCTGTTATTCGTCCATTTCTTCTCTACAAAATGAAATCTGAAACATGGAGAGAACTCACGAATCCAAAAACAAATGACCAAGAAAGAAACTCAAGACCAAAGAGTTAATTTTCCTAAAAACTAACTATTTACAGACACCATGTATTCATTCGTTTACAGACATGTATGGTGACTTGTGTCTTGTTTGATACTTGAACAGTGCAATCCAGTTCAGTTAACGACGGGCAGGGATTTAGGCAAAACAGCTTATGCCGTGTTGGAACTGCAGATTGATTTTTGCAGACAATATTCATTTGCTTGCCGACAAGAAACACACCAAATTGAGATCTTGCAAACCAACCAGGAACAAGCTAATTGAGGATAGGTGCACATGGGAAACTACAAGGTGATTCCTGCGAACAAAAATATAAAAATCATTCTGTTAAAAGCATTCAGAAGTCAAAAAGACCAGTGGGGGAAAAAGCAGAAGAGAATCAATATCACTTTGTTCTCAAGAAGGGTTAAAATATGGGGAAATGGTGCAAGACAAGATTCAAAGAATCAAGTATTTGATTGGAAATCTCCATTTCATGATGGGGTATGGCATTAAAGAGCATCTCATCTCAAAGAGAGGTTGAGACACCAATGTCTTCGATGAAAAGTGCATTTTACCATAAAAATTATGCTTGCACCGCATTGCACCATCATGAACAATGAGTTATGAAAAAAAGTCCCCAGAACGAAATCACCCACCAATGCCACTACTTCAATAAGATACAAGCTTTATAGTCCATGAACATGGTTGAACTATGTTCAAACAAAAACCAGTGAATAAAAAAATTGTTATAAGAAGGGGCAAGGAAAAGTAAATTGTACTTTGCATTAGTTGGGGGAATCTATATAACCCATTAAAGTGCAACATCCAAATCTCTTAAGTATATATTCATGTCAATGCAAAACCAATTTACGTTAATCAGCATGTTCAAAATACTCAGGGTTAGTGTCAAGTGCCTGATAAATGCTAAACATGAAAACTAAATTGCATTTGATGAATGCTTGCATAACAATGAAATATAAACAAGAGAAGTACAGTTACAGTTTGCTGAGTGTTGATTGGCCTGTCCAGGTTCCATTAGGCTTAATTCCATACCATGAGTTGCTGTCCAACCAGGTTCATATGCTTCAAGAAAACCAATCTTTGCCTTATTAGGTAGATCATGGGGATGAACAAACGGCACTCCATGTGGCCACCCAATTTCCATTCTAATATTGGCACAAGGGCTACCTGGAGCATGAATGTGATTCTCACACTCTTTTAGGCTACAAAACCTTAGTTTGATCCCCTTCTTATCTGCAATCTCCTGAACCCTTTCCTTAAGCACTCTTTGTGCCTCAAGCCGTAATCTCTTGGAAGGAGGCAGAGGTTTGCATCTTGTATTATTCTTCCTTCTTCTCATCAAGGGCTTCATAGATCCTGTACCAGCATTTCATTGATCCAAGGACCTGCTGTTAACAACTTCTCACTAAGGCTACTTGGAAAAAAAATAACAAGGATAATCAACATCAAGATGGCTGAGCAAACCAAACAGCAAAAGTTATTGTTTGGATCAAACTGTTGAAAACCCTATCTTCTCCTTGTCTTCTGACTTTTGAGTAAAAATATTAATTCAACAATAACCCCAGTCCAGGATTGTCCAACTAACACCAAACTAGTTAAAGACAATCTTATTAGTTTATCATGAATATCATGCACATTTCTAGACATAATCTAATTTTCTTCACTTGGAGAACTAGTCAGCCAATGTTGAAAATACTTTTCCTATTATGCATTTTAAATATTGTGTAAGCAAAAGCTTCAGTGAAAACGAATGACCTGTCACTGTTAGTTTCCTGGCTCCTCGTGACAAAAGTCTAGAATATATCTAGTAAACAAATTTTAAAAAGAAGCAGCTTAAGCATTTTGATCCAATCTTAAGTACATCTATAATGGTAAAAAACAGATATATAATAGTCTGTCTAGACTAGTTGGGGAGAGTAAAAGGATCAAAAGGAAATTTGACTTAAAATCTGGTGAGAAGAGAAAACAAGCAGAACCATTTCAGATGGCAACAACTTAATACTTCAAGGTGAGGGAACTAATTTTCAATGAGAATCAGCTGCTTATAACTGTGGAAAAAAGACAAAAGCAATAGCTCAAAACCACAAAATATATCCCCCTTTCATTTTATTGCTTTTCTGGGGCCATAAGTAGCATAAGAAAATACCATATGTACTAAGAAACACCACCTACCATCTTGGGCTGTGGGGAAATTGAAATTCTGAAAAGTGTTTCTATTAAAGAGCTGATCTGTTGGGTGAGATCTCTGCATGAAGTCATCCACTGGTACTGGAAGCTGGAACTGAGCTTCAACCCCATGACCAGCTGCTCTCATCTCTGAGCAACTGAGACTGGTCATAGATTTGGGCATGAGTTTGAAAGCCAAGGAGCATCGTCCATACATGTTACCCGGCATATTATTAATCTCTGTCCTATGCAGTGCAGGATTGACATAACCAGCAGTCGCTTGATAAAGTGCAAGTCCAGGATAAACAACAGCTTCTTGAGGACCAAGGTCCCCATCTACAAGAATCCACCGACCTTGAAAATCTCTTACATGCAATCCTGCCTTATCTGACTTTACAACAGATATTAAGCTTTTATCAACCTGGTGCTCATGGTCAGGGAACATGATCAATTGGCCATCATCCTGTGTTGTTAAATTGTGGTGTTGTGCCCCCTGAAAGGAAGGCCTTGCATGACAGCACACAGATAACACTGAAGAAGATATTTCCCGGTTTCTTAAGGGAACATTATCAAGTATTTCAGTAAAGGGAGAGCTGCGCAAGTTCAAATAATAGCTGATCGCATCCAGTATAACTCGCGCTGCCTTAGCAAGCAAGCCAAATATGTCAGGTAAAGCACCTGGAAGAAACTCCATTCCGTTGCTGGGCTCTGTAGGAGTTAAGCCTGGTCTGTAATCATACGTTTCGTGCCATAGGTGGGGATCAGCATAGTAACCAGATGTTTTGCACCACTCATGAGAATCATTTGTGTGAATCAGGTCTGCAGATGGGTATGCTTCCTTTTGTTGGAAGTAAAGGCGAGCAGAATCTAAACCAGATCTCAAAAGAGCTCCATCACTAGCTGGAAACTGAATGATGGCAACAGAATATTGAGCAAATGATTGTGATAAAGTAGAGATTGATAGCTTGTAAGAGTCAGAAGGAAGGCCTTCAGAGGGTATGAGATCAGTAAGCTTTACACGACCCAGAGATGGCAGGCCATTGCCTGCCATTAAATTCTTTCAATGTACCAGCTACTTAAGTTTCAACAAATAGTTATGACCTATTGATAATACAAATTAAATTTGGCATCAGTCAAAGGACTTAAGACATCAGGTACCATCTGTCGTACAGGAAATTAAAAAAAAAAAAGACATTTAACCACCATAAAATTAAACATTTTAAGACTATAAAGAAAGATTAGGCATCACTGACAAATATGAACACCAAAAGTTATTTCAGATTGTTCAACATTGGCAACAGTAAGCAATTAAAAACATTTCTTAAGACTATGGATTAGAAAGACAGCAGTGAAGCAGATCAAAAATAAAAACAATCAAAGGATAGTTATCCCCTGTTGCATAAGAAATTTGGCGGATTAAAATTCCTACAAGGCTGAAAATAGGTTGTCCTAGGAAACATCTTCAGAAATGAACAAGTTCCAAAGCCGGGTGAAACTCAGTTATTGACTCCGTTTTATTTTCTACAAGTAGGTCAAGGAAACAAAAACAGTCAAGGTATTTGCTTGTGGACGGGACTAGAATTTTCTTTATTTTACAGCTTGCAAAAGATGAATATAGAACATAAAAGTACTTTCACTGACTTTGAAATTTCGTAGTGGATAATAATTGGAACTATATTGCAGCTACAATAATCCAAGCTAATTTTTATACCAATTGGTTTCCCTAATGAATTGAGGAACACCATAATTTTTTCATTTTTCACACCCTATTTATGTATGTAAAACTCTAATCAAATCTGGAAATAATCAAAGTAACCCATTCTATTACATACCATTAAACATTCTACTTACTAAGAAATAACTGCAAAAATCAAAAGGTGAACTTGCTTTAAAGTTTAAATTTTGAGTTAAAAAAAAAAAAGAAAACCAAAACCCAATTCATAAAATAAAATAAAATAAAATAACTGAACAAAAAGAAATACCCATCAACGATCGACCCACATAAATACAAAAAATAAATAAATAAATAATAACAGAAGAAGAAGATTCTTGATTTATTTAATGGAAAAAAAAAAAAAACTTGCCTTTGATTGAGTAAAGCTTCTTCCTAGTCTTATAGTAAACGAAGCGAGGTAATTAATTGAAAGCTGAAAGGCTAAAGATGTGAACGTCAGGAGCAGAGGGGGAGAGGAGGATGGAATTTCCTCGAGAGAAAACAGCGGCACTATTTTTTTTTTTTTTAATTCCTGAAAGGTGTTCATGGGCCGTGCTTGGTAGGTCCAGATTTTTTATTATTGAAATAATAAAAATAATTTTTATTAATGTTCTTTTAATGTTTTATTATGGAAATACATATTTGTCAGCTATTGACTCGTACTACCATATGGAGATGCATAGTGTTCAGCCATCTAATTAGACTGCTCATAAAAATATAAGTGTTCGTTAATTTATTATTAATATTTACGTTATTTATAAATAATTGGATTTTAGACAAAACATACGCACGCAAAAGAAAAAGAAAATTCTAATCTCATTGAACATATATTCATATTCATATATTCATGTTCATAAATCGAAACTTAAATTTTGATTCATGTTACTTTAAAATTTAAATATTTATTCATTCGATATCTCAAATCAATTTATTTTTTACGATTCATACTCTTATTAAATATTATTTGTTTTAACATATTCTAATCTCACAATTTTATTCTAAAAAAAATAACTTACAACAAAAAACCGATATGAACCATTACATATCTTAATAACCTTCTTTTTATATATGCTATAAGATTCAAAATTTCCTTTTATATCTGTGACACATGCGCTTACCTTATGACATCGATGACATCGAATATTCGAACTTCTATCCTTCAAGTCTTGTTAAGACAAGGGCTAATTTAATCGATTTTTAATTAAATTAAACGGTTTATCAACGAATTTGTAAAACTCGATGAATTATTTTGAAAAAAAAAAGGAAACAGAAATTTAGGGTAGCTTAGAATTGTGAGACAAGTCGTTGTTAGGGTTGAATGTTGTTAAAAGCCAATTAAGTCGATCAACAACGGAAATAAGGATTTCGAGCTAAAGTCATACAAACTCTTTATTACTATCATTTCCACCAAGGAAGGCATAAAAATCCTCAAAATAATCTAATGGCTTTACGAGGAGCGAACTACTGCTGCTACTGTTGCGCTTGCTTCCTACTTCTCAATGGCCTGCACATGAAAAAAAAAGTACATCCTGACATCATAATTTTGGTGAAACTCTGATAAGTTCAAAATCTGCAGACGAAATTTCAAGAACAAGTCCCATCTGTTTAACTGACTAGGTAGAATTTGATGTGTTCGGATGGATCTAAACTTTCCCAAATATTTCATTGTATTTATAGTCAAACTCCCAAACTTGTTTCTTATTATGCGTCTCATGACTTACTACCAACGGTCTTGTACAGAGTATTTGCGTTCACCTACTTGCTTCTATATATTCCATGCCTGGAACTTGTTTCAAGATCATTCAAGCTTAAAATTCTTCATGAAATAAGTTCAATTCCTGGAACTTATCACACACACCTATGGCCCTATTACTTCCCCGCAAGAATTCAGAAATCCTAATATCCTCCTCTAGTAAAATTGTAGCTTTGCACAAAAAAAAAAAAGCATATATTATCGATTACTTGGCAACAATAAATCAATGTTATATTACAAAATTAAAAGAAACATTTCAATGCTCGTGCAAGCAAAGCCTAGTCTTCATGAATAGACAGCATCAATCACAAATGACTAACAACAAATAAATTAAGAAAAAAAGAAACCATCTAGAAATGAAATAAAATTTTCATTTAAAGTGCAAATTGTTTAGTAACAAAATGAATAAAATAAATAAACAAATTACCTTCTAGGACTGCGACTCCTTGAAATCCTCCTTGTTACCTGTCATCATTGAAAAAAAAAAACGCCAGATATTAAATAACTAGTAAATAAGTTACTTCATTGAACCAAAAATAACAAATGCAAACCTTCCGCAGACTTGGTGATTTGGAATAGGATGATGATCGCCCACGTCTTGCCGCTGGTCCTCTGCCTCTGTTTTAAAGATAAAATACATAAGATCCCAGTGGTGGAAACGCAAGATTACAAACAACAGTAAATTTCGTGTTTTTTCATTAATAGGTATTCCTTCTTCTTAATCAACTAAATTCTAGCTTTCTAATTAAAGAAAAAAAATGATATGCCCAAAAAGAGGGAAAAATATGACTACTACCCACACTTCTGACCCCAAATACATCATATTTTGGTCAATTCTCATACTGCCAAAGCCCATAGGGGCATACAAAACCATAAAAGGCACCAGCACAAGCTCAAATTCACTCATTCAATGTAGTCAATCAAATTACTAGTAATTTCAGCCCATACAAATAAATTTAATAAGCTTCTCTATTTATCGTCACTTTTCTTGAGAATATTTAGCATATTGCAGGAAGGTAGAGAGTGAGATAATGAAAAAGAAGACAGATTGTTTAAAACAAATGCAGCAGATGAAAGGTTTATGGTATTAATGTTTTACCTCCTAGGTGAGATTGACCTTGAACGAGAATGAGCAGGTCTACGAATTGGAGAACGGCTCCGTCTACGACTGAAGGGAGACCTTCTTGGAGGACTACGGGCATGTCGAGGAGGTGAACTGTAATAAAATATAATAGTGTAAGACCCAGGTTACATGAAACTATAGTTGCACCAATTGGTCTGAGCTCATCCACACTTCATACAACAAAGATCAACACCAAAGTATCACTTATAACAGCCAACATGAATAAGACATAGTATGACTACCTAAATAACAATTCTAAGCTTATCTTTGATACATTATAGTACTCTTGATTCCTTAGTCAGTAAGATCTTATGCATTTATTCATTTGTTCATACGTTGCGACCATTTCACTTATACCTTAGGGCAAAAATATTTAAGCCTTATGAAAATAGCTAAAATGTATTATTACCGGCGCCTTGGAGGAGGAGAACGTCTTCGGATTGGACTACCACGCATCCTACGAGGAGAGGTCCTGTGAAGAAGATTAAATGGGTCAAATTTTTTGAAAACAGTTCAATAATTAAACAAGCTATTAGCCTACTATAACAACCAAACCTTGCTGGAGATCTAAGCCTCCTTGGAGGAGACAATGGAGAACGACCTCTAGCAGGAGAGGCAGGTCGGCGCCTTGGAGGCATTTCAGCACGACGGTAAGGGGATTCTGCACGACGACGAATAGGAGAATCTACTCGCCGACGTGGAGATTCTGTTGGTCGTCTAGGAGATCCACCTCTTCGACCCACAGGCGATCTCCTTCGCGGTGAGGACAGGGGTTTCCGTTGAGGAGAAACTGATATCCATCAGTTAATAAGTTGAATAACATGTAAGTAACTAAATATACAAATCAAAGCATAAATTAAACAGAAATTTTACTACGTTAAACATACATTCCCGTGGTCGTTTTATCCCATCCCTCTCAATATCAGCACCAGCAGTGTCAGGTTTTGGAGCATCACTTTTAGTAGCAGAAGCAATAGGTTTTGGCGGTGGGGAAACTTTTGGTCGTGGAGGAAGTGTAAACTTCGCTCTTACAACATTGCCATCAATCTGGGCCTGCATTAAAGCAACAAAAAATATCATTCTTGCAAAATACTAACTCTAACTACTACTACTATTACTTTGGCATTATAGCAAAACCTACACCATCCATGTACAGTAGAGCTTTTTCAGCATCTGTCCTCTTCTTGAATTCAACATAGCCATATCCTCTTGGAAGATTAAGCTGTTAACGTGAAACATGTCAAATAATAATAATAATAATCGAAACCAAGATATGAGTATGACTGCTAAGAACTTACAGCACGGTCCATTGCCAGATCCACATTTACAATTTCACCAAAATTACCTACAAAGAGGGAAGATAAAGACAATTATGATCAGCATTGAACCGTTGAAGAGTCTATTTGTTTAAAAACATAAAGGAAACAACACTGATCCGAACATAAAAGTAAACAAAATAATACGCATTTCAGAAGTAGCAAATATTATCCAAATTAATACAATTCTATAATCTTATTCAACATATAAATATAGCAGGCATGGAGATCAAATGAATGCATAGAATAGGAATCCCAAGACGCATAAGATCATGTGAAAGTCAAAGTCTAAACTTCACCCCCTTTCTGTTAACACCCTTGCCAAGGCATAATATAATTTTAATAATCTTGAACTAATGTAAAGACAATGGTCTCAAACCCTAATGAATTGGCTTAAATGGACTCTTCCTTAAAAGCATCAATCCTGAAAAAGAAGCTGCTTTTGTCACCTGATGGTCTCATTGTTGCACAAAACCAAATGTGGGACCTATTACATGGGTTTGTGCGGTACCAATTTGGAAAATATCTTTAGAACCTCCAAATATGTGGGGAAATATTTCATAACAGTTTCTCCAAATGATATTTATGAGATTAAAAGACAGGACAACGTTTCTAGAACACAAAGACAACCTCAAAGGACATAATAATCCTACAGCAAAAAAATTACAGGAAATATTAGAACAAGATCTCAAACAAGTCGAGATAAAACTTACAATGCCCTCGTAAATTGACCAAGTTCTTTCAATTAATTAAGAGTTCATTAATAGTAGACAGTATCATGTCACAAAGTATTTAACAAGCAATCATTCAATAAAAGTGTTATACACCATAGGTTCTTGAGTGCTCAACTCTCAGAAGCATTAACTATTCTGAGTCAAGCATTTACACTACTCAAAGGTTAAAAGGTAAAGCACAAACCGAATATTTCTCTTAGATGGCTTCATTGACGTTCCTGCTCAGCCGAGTCAACATAAAGAACTAGAGACTCATGGATAGGAGAAGCCTTCCTGAAATTAATGCCAAGAACAACATAAATACATGAGTATAAACATAATCCTTTTCAATTACTGTATTTTTTTTTTCTTTTTTTTTTTCCAAAGCATTATCATATTGTTAACCCCCCTCCCATATTATCAAGTAAAGCATAATGTATGTTTGCATATATTGCACTAAGACATCCAAACAAGTCAGCTTCTCTGGCAGAAAATAACTACAATTTAAATAACAGGTACCCTACAAGAAGAATAACTAAAATAAAAACTGCTTAAAAGAATTATTGATTCTCTCTACCATTAGAAAGCCGGATACACTAACTTGAAACAGATTAAAAACAAGTTTCTTCATCGACAGTTCTGTCATTTTCTAAATCATTTACTAAAAACCTTTAAAACATCCATTCCCTAGTAGTCAACAATACAGAACACATGCAATACATATAAAGTAAAGCTTCTGCAAAAACTTAAACTCACAATACTGGTAAATCTGTAGTGAAAATAGCTTTACCTTGGAGTTGGAGATGCCTTTTTAGACTGTGGCAAAGGGGACGACCTCGCCTAGGTGCATCAGCTGGACTGTGTCAGGGAAAGAAAGACAACTCCAATACAAATATTAATTAAACTTTCAAAAGGGTAATAACCACATGCAACCAAAAAAAAAAAAAGGTGGGAGGGACAATTGCAGTATCTTAAACTTGAGACACCAATATCAATATAGAGGATGGCATTCCCAATTGCAGAAGACATTTGGATCCACAATCTTAGTTTTAATTCATTAAATTGAACCAATTACAACCTCTCATTTGTAATTTTGATCCAACTCTTGTACATCATACATATATTTAGATTCCAACTATATCAACTGCCAAGAAAATGAACAGAATTTGCGCTACCCTACTATTCCAAGAAACTATAACTAAATGAGTTAAATTATTGCATAAGGTGAGTTGGATGAACTAGAATCCCATGAGCCAAGTTCCAAGTACTTATTATTAGGTAAATCATGCATTTTCGGCTATTAGCACAATAACGTGAACTAACTTACAAACTATTAACACAGGAAGGAAATTTTGATATCCCTAAGATTCCAAATAGGGCTGCCTTCGGTTGTTACTCTAATACTTTATTTTATTTGTTCCTGCTTCCTAAGAAATAGAAAGCAATCAAAAGCAAATGATAGAAACCAAAATTAATTGATTAAAAATGCAAAAATAACTAAAACATAACACAATTCTAACATAACTGTTCCATATAAAAGTCAAACGACTGCCTTTTATTCTCCAATTTTTTTTCTTATATTGAAACCAGTAAAAGTAACAACCAAACAGTACCAAATCAATTTAAAATTGAATTCTTTGGTTTCCTTTTACTATTAACAAAATGCATCTTTTTTCATGAAAATTTTCAAAACTTATGAATTTATTAAATGAGTATCAAAAATTTGAAGAGAGAAGTAAATAAGTGACCTTCGACGCTTAGAAGGAGGGCTGCGACTTCGAAAGCTAGCGCTGCGAGAAGGAGAGGAAGAGGATAAGGATCTAGACCGAGAGCCAGATGGAGAAGCAGATGTGGACCGGAGACAGACCGAGAGCGGGAGCCGGACTTGGAGTCTGAACCGGAGTAAGAGCGGGAGCGAGGACCTGGACCGTGACCGAGAACGGGATGAGGAACCGGAGCCGGATTTGGAGGGTGAGCGACGGCCTCTCGTCGGCTTCACCATTAGGTTAATAGAGAAAATGGAACAGCCGAAATCCGCAAACCCAAGAATAATCCCTAAGCGGCCGTGGGTCAGCGTACAGTTAGGTAGTGTTTGCTGTAGTGAGGACGCGAATTTATCCGAACCTAAAAAAAAAACCCTATCGAGTCATTTCTCTTTGTTTTTTCATAATAACTTGTTGGCTATTATTTTCTTTGGCACAATGTTGCATTTAAAAAATTATTTTTAATTTACATATAAAATTCATTTAACTACCAGTAGACCCGACACCATCGTCACGGGCAATTTTTTTTAATGAAAAGAAATATTGTTATTATATAATTTTCGAAATTAATGGAAATTCAAGAAAGATAATGACGGTTGTAATTAAATAAGGAAGGACTAAAAAGAAAAAACAATAAAGAGTTAATCATTTAACTTAATGAAAGGTATAAGATTAGAATGTAAAAGAAGTATGATAGTCAAACTTAAAATTACAATAAAATAAAAAGATATTTTATTTCTTATCAGATAAATTATTAACTCGAAAATATTTTTTACTGTAGTAAAAGAATAATAACCACTAAAAAGCGATTGTCAATTACAAATTTTTTCATCTATGTAAAGATTTGTTTTAGCATTGTATTTATAGTTAAGATTGCTTTTCTCAAGAAATCAACAAAGTGATATATGTATATTGCTTAGCATATATTTTATGAAAATATGTGATTGATCATCGCGAGTGAACTGTGCTTAGACACTTTATAAAATCGCACCGATTTATGAAAATAGATGATGGATGAGTAGGCTTCCCTTTTCGATTTACGGAATGCGATCTGTGACACAATGAGAGTTTTAGGATTCAAACTTGGTTCCTTGCCAATCAAAAATATTGAGGTGTTCCTTATTTCTGGCAAACTCAGTGAGAAGGAGTGTAAGCCTCTAATTGATAGAATTCTGAAAAGAATAAAGAGCTAGACAGTCATCTTTTATTGGTAGATTACAGTTTCGAACAACCAACATGTTAGTACTATTCCATGTTTCAGAGGTCTTCAAGGGCTTTAGGGCCTTGCGAAGAGACATTCTGTCATTCTCATCATTGTAATATGTTGTGTTGTAAGATGTTTTAATAATAAATGATGTAGTTGTAAGATCTTCCAGGGTCTTCTCAATGTACGATAGGTCAATCCAAATGCGAAAATAGCCGTTTTTTTTAGCTGTAGGTCCCTTTCAAGCACAGGAAGGATTAATAAGATCATGTTCGACCAAGAACAAAGCCTATGATAGTTGGCTAGATCGAGTAGATGCTATTTATGGCGAGATGTAGAAAGAAATAGGAATTTATGTCCTTATCCAATTCTCAAGACATGAAATCAGCATGAACAATGGACTTATTGGGGCTGCACTTCTGGTATACCGTATCATAATAACATAAAAGAATCGTTAATAGAGTATCTAATTTTATAAATCAATTTTATGTATAGGTGAATCAAGGATATTTATGGTTGAATAATATAATAATATATAATCATAATTTATAGATAATTTATTACAAAGATGCAATGTGTTTTGGTAGTTGATTGGATTAGCAAGTAATGAAACATGGTGAATTGTAATCACAATCATTTTTACCTTGTATCATTTGAGGGTGAATAAAATTGAGCATGATAATTTGATTTAGAACTTGAATCTTCAATCTCTATAATTTTCATTGGATCTGAGATATTGTTGGTTAGAAGCGCTTACTTGGGTTGTTGAATTTTCTTTAAAATTGGAATAAACAACGGAATATGATGATTGCAATTTGGTGATATAAAAATAAATCAATGGAAAGTGAAGTAAAAGTATTACTATTTTGTTGGTTAAATGCCCCTATCAATTATAGTGGTGGCCAACTCATAATGCAAAAAACTTCAAAATCATATTATTGTTTTATGTGAATGTTAATACATCTTGAATATTTAAGATAATGTGCATTTACAAATTTTTTCCATTCATATTTGGGCAAATACAATTGGTTAATCAATCATTAATTAACTCCATTTTTAAAAAATTCAAGTAGAAACCTTTAATACCCTTAAAATTTGGAGTTTTGATGCCTAACATGCATATTTGAGCAAAAGCTTCTAGAATTTTCCATAACAAAATTTTTTTGTTAGTTTTTCAATACAATTTTAAGAATATGGATGAAAAAATTGAAGACAATTGGTTTATAATTTTGTTGATAAATAATAGTTTATAAATTATCAATCTTATAGATTCAAAAATTGTAGATGTTTATCAATACAATTTTAAGAACATAGATGAAATTTTTAAGATGATTGGTTTATAAATTTGATGACAGATAATAATTTATAAATTATTAACCTCATATATTAAAAAATTGTTAATGCATGGATACTTTGTGCATTAATAATTATAGGGAACAAATAGATTAAATAATGATTAAAATAGTAGAACTACTAAATGAAAAAAGATAAAACATAAATATTAATGTTTAAATCAAGAATGAATAAGCAAGGAAACCATGTAGTTATTTTGCTAATAAACAAATATGTAATCATGAAAAATGAGTCTTCATAGGTTTGCAAATAATTGAAATAATGATCGACTTAACTACAAATATTTAATACCAATAAATAGAATATTGTTTCATCAGCTTTTTTTTAAATGTCGATAAAATTAAGTAGGTAAATATTTGGTATGAATAAAATGTAAAAAAATGGAGGTAAGATTATTTGCCTAAAGGGCAAAATACTTATGGATAATAAAAGGAATGAAATAAATAGAAATAACCTTAGTTTAAAATTTTAAATAAAATAAAAAATGTGAAAAATAGATGAACAGCAAATGATGAAATTGTTTTTAAAATATTGAAGTAAATGATATGAAATAACGAATAAAATATAAAAGAACTTAGTTATGTTTGAAGTTTTTTTACCATACAATCTTGAGCAATATTTTCATGACGTAAAAACTTGACAAACCATAAAGGATTATTGAGGTTTCTACCATGTTCGATGGGAAGATAATTATTATTGGATATTTTTTTTAAGAAAGTAGTGGGATGGTTTGTATAATTGAAATTGTGAGTTTTAGTTTTAATAAGCAATTTTGGTGATTCTTGGTTGGATATGGATGTAAAAAAGTTAGTAAATTGATCAGTCAAAATTTTTATGAGCAGTGGGTGGAATAATTAATATGTGTATTTAATTGATTAAAGATAGTTAAACTGTGATATGTTGTGAACATTTGTATGAGTTAGATGTGTTTTGTGTTTATGTTAATACAGTTGACCTATAGAATGGGTAAGCAATATATTTAAAAGAGTTGATAGGTTTGTAGTTTGGTATTTTAATTAATATAAAAAATTTGCTTAAACTATGGTGGGGGCTATTTGTCTATTAGAACAATTAGATCATGAATAATAAAAGCATGAAAAAGATTTAGCATATAAATTGTATATAAGATTAAATATTAAGCTATGGCTATTTAAAGTTTACTACAATAAAAAGAATCAAGAAGCAGCCAATACAGAAGTTATAAGTTATTGTATAACTTTTCATAACTGATTAAAGTTGACAATAAAAAGAAACCAAACTGTAGTCAAAAGATGAGTTATAAGCTATTGTAGAAGCATAATAGTCTAATGGCTAAAAAGTATCATAACAATTTAAAGAAAAGTTTTAAAAAAGGTAGTCAAATGTTATCAACTATCTTGAAGACACAATGGTCACTAGAGTTTAAATTATTATCTATCACAAATCTCCGTCAACCACCAAAAAAGCTTTATTATGGGTAAAGTACCTAAAATGGATAGGCCAAGTTATGCTTTTTTTTGGTACCATCAAGTTGACTTCAACATTATGCAGAGGGAGGTAATTTTTATAAAATACCACTAAGATATGCTGTATTTAAAAAGGTTAAAAAAGTTCAATCCATAAACTTAAAATGATCATCAATAATTATGAATACATATTTTATCCAAATATTTAAGTTATTTGAATATAAAAAAGGGCATTGAACATTTGTCTTAGTCATGGTATATTGAAATGATAGATAGTCAGAATTGTCAATGTCACTTTCATTGTCAACATCCTCATTAAACTCAGTTTTGATATGATAATCTAATTCAGAAGTTGAATAATTAAGATAAATAATTTCTTTGGGCATCGATTTTTTGCCTTTCAATGTATTAGACTTTTGTTGTTTACTCTTTGAAAATGTTTATTGACCCATTCACTTTTTTTCAATTACGGAAATGTAAATACGAAGATTAAAAAATAAGATAATTTGATTATATGAATAAAATACAATTAAAATTAAAGTATTATCTATTCTTGTTTGAAAGATATTTTCTATGATAATAAAGTTAGATCTAGCATAGAGAAAGAGATGAAAAGTCATGTTTTGCTTATACATCAATGTGAATATATCACTACATTGTAGGTATTGCACATCAACAAAATTTTTTAACCATTTTTTAAGCACAGTTGACTATTGATCTTAACAAAATCCACTTTAAATTTAATAGATATCAAACTTGTAATATGTATAGTCATTGGAATCTTAATGTATAATAATTGCATCTCCATATACCTTTGAAAGCCTCTAGTATGATAAATTTGATATCTAATGATTTATTAATATAGATTTGAAAAGAAAGATGTATATGTTGTTATTCATGATTAACAAATGTTTCAACACTGAATATCAGAGAATATAAATTCACAAAAATCTTTTGTTGGTTTTAGTCATAAGTGTATATATTCATATAAACTTCTAGACTGCATTTATAATGCAAACAAAGAATGATATCATTTTTTTTATATCAAGCATTATTATCTTAAAGGATACAAAGGCTTATTATGCAACAACATTAACAAAATGGACAATAGGGTAAGGAGTAATCAACAATTTATTATCAATTCATGTTTATATATATAGATCAAATAAAATTAAATTAATAGGAAAGACTTTATATATATATATGTTCATATATAAAAGAAAGGAATCAAGGGATACATGCAAATGAGGTATGTATGTATGT